TTCTTACTTTACCTCTTACGTGCTTTCTTAACCCTGGAGATCGTTTCGGCATTTTATATATGAAACTGGAGCTGAAAACATGTAAGGAATTTGCCCAAAGTCATATTGCATGCAAGGATAGATCACAAACTAGAGTCCACATCTTCTGAGTCTTACAAATTAACAGGCAGGACATTCAGAAAAGAACAGGGCAGATGACTATAAGCCCTATGTAATGGCCCAAAAGGAAGGCTCTCTAAGGCTTATGTGTGTGTATAAGGCTAATGACAGTGTGTATGTTGGGGGGGGGGGGGACAGCATGTATTTGGGCAAACTCCTATCAGACATTTTTAAATGGAGCTCTCAGAGACCACAGAAAAATGCACTAATCCTTATTTCTGCCTGAGTTTGTTATTATGTGGAACCAACTTCAAGAAACACAAATGTTTAAACATCACCAAATGGTTTTCTAGCTGAGTCAGTCACTTTTGCTTGTTTGCACTCCAATCCTACAAATAATTCATTCAGAGTCAAATTACATAGAACAGAAAAATCACTTTAATATGTGGTGTGCGTGTGCACGCACGCACATTTAGGTGTTTCATACTTATAGAAAGACAAATGATCACAATGTTCATTTGTCACATGAGACTTGCCTACTGTGTTCCACAGGTCATAAATGACAATAGATGATATAATTCACAGGAGTATAAACATTATAAACTTTCTTTAAACACATGTATAGGCCATATTCCTAGATAATACACAGTAGGCTACACTCCATTATTTACCAAATATATTTAATAAATAATTTTATGGATAATGGATAGCTCTTAAAGTATCAGTAAACCAATAAATGTTAATTACCTTTAATTATTCAGTTACCAAAAAAATCCACAAAACACCTTATAATTGTTACAAGCTCTCCCTATAGACCCATGCCCACAAACTTTGTTTTCACATAGTGAATTCTAAGTGATAGAAAACCACATATTGTGTCAGGAGTTTGTTTGAGTGTTGACACTTTCTTAGTGAATATGGGCATTCCAGATGCCTAATGGAAGGAAAACCACTTTTTCCCTTGAAATCCACAGGCAACTTTTACATTTTACAGTCAGTTAATCACATCTTTCGAGTTGATTCTTCTTTTGTCCCTTAATGTATAAACAAACAGGTGGGAAAATAGTCCTAAATTTTTGAAAACTTAAAACAATGTAACTATCTTAAACTTAAATACTAAGTCTCTTACAGCTAACACTTATTAAGTACATTTACATTTAAACAAGGAAAATGTTATTACCATAAAAAGTATTATAATTTCCCACAAACATTAAATAGAGTTAGAATTGTGAAATAAATAAAATTTTAATACCTCGAATTTAAAATATGTAGTCACAATAGTGTGACGTGCCTGCATTTTATCATATATTTTTATGTTATATCTCCAGATATGCATGTATTTGCAATTTTTACAAAGTTACCTTATGAACAGATACATTGGGATCATCAAGTATGTTATCATTATCTTTAGAGACATGCTGCTGATACTGAAATATACTCAGTGGGACTCTTAAACATTAAATTTTAAAGGTTGGATTGGAACATTATCTACATCCACTTCTCCTTTGACTTATCAAGAGAGCTACATGGCTTCAACCTGCCAAGATTAACCAGGATGTGAATCTGTAGGGGCGCATGCATGCAAAGAAAGGGGGTTGGAAAGATCAATGCTAGAAGCTCATCCAGTAGTTGATGAACTTCTACACTTGTTGGTGGTGGCAATGAGGCAGGTGGAACTTGTTCAGAAAAAAACACCTGAGACTCCCCACAATGAAGTCCTGTGAAGCAGTGTGTCACAGACTTCACTGCTCACACAATATAAACAAGAACTCGGGTTCAAAAGATCTTGGAAGTATCCCCAGGTGCCCCTGCTGCCAGCACTTGTCTGTGGTCACACTTTGATTCTTTGCCTTTGAGATAAAAGATGGTTTTGCGGTTTCCTTCAGCTCTTAAATAATCCTATAAAGGACCTGATAAAGATCTATAATCTTCTCTGGGAAACAACCGGATTAGGTTTATATACAAGAGAGTATCTCTCTTTCCATCCGGTTTTGTCATCTTCGTTCTATAGTCATTTTTCCCTACAAAAGATAGGAAGTACAGAACAAGACCCAAGGACTATTGTACACTTTCCAAGCAAGATGCATATTTACATCAAAGATCATAATTATATAAAAATGAGCATCAATTCACAAAAGGAACACTTGTTTGACGGAAGTAAGGCAGTAAAGCTAAATGTTTGGGGGACAGTCAGCCAAACTTCTGTCACTGGACCACCAGAATTACAAACCACCCTTGTCTCCCGATGCCATTTCAGATTATTCAGGGCCACAGACTCACTGAGGGAGGATTCTATTCCCTCTGCCGCTTCACTTTCACAGTGCCAAACATCTACTGTGGTGTCCAATGAATGAAGTTCTCCTTCCTCTCCTCCCCTGGAAGCTTGTGCTCTCAGTGAAATGTCACAAATAAAGTAGAAGCAAGCCTTTCCCAGGCTGGACTTGTGAACAGAAAGCAAGAGCACCATTCTTTACCAGGAAATTGACCCACAAAGCTTACTGGATTCCGTTAAAGAGACTGAGAAGAAGGTCAGCTAAGAAAACAAAGGGGACTCTCTCTATAGTTACTTCTGATCGAGCTCCACCAACCCAGAAATAAAACCTTGTCCAAGGCAAAGGAAAGAAAAAGGAGGTCGCATAAGGTGAGAGGTCTGGGGGGCAATGGACTCTCACAGGTGCCTTCTTCGCATGCTGTTAGTCTATAGTCTCTTCTCCAGACAATACTGCTTTTATATTTATTTCCTTTCCTCACTACCCCCATTTCACACTGTAATGTGTACTAAAGTATTCTGCTTAAAATCACAGTTTCTTTTTAGCTGTAGACACACAGAAGCATCCTCTATATTATATATAGCTATTTATGTAATGACAGACTTCTATGCATATAGTATATGGAAATATAAGAAAACCCTTTTCCTTCTGAATCAACATTTAGATGCTTATCTAATGATTGGCTAGCTAGAGCTTAGGATATAGGTGTTGCTGACATAGAAAGACCTTACAAAGTTCATGGACATTTAAATAAAAACTTAGACATCCAGCATATTCACTTCTCTCATACTCAATCTTATAATCACTGAAAAAATATTTCTAGGGGTAGCATACATTTATATAGACTGCTTTATTGGTAAAGGGTTAATGAATGCTAGCAGTGGAGACAGCATGCTTATGTGTTTGCAAAAACATTATCTGCATCATGTCCAAATCCCTCTACAAACAGATAAATTACTCTATAAATCTTATTACTCCATGTGGATAAATCATACAGGCAGGTTTACAGAGCTGGAGAGCTGGAAGAGAAAATCTGCTTTGGATAGTAGGATCTTTGGGATTTATAATCATCCAATGCTCAGGAAATGAAGAAAAGAGTACTTACACATTAGGATTTTCTTAGTTTTTACTATCTGCAGCAACATATACACACAACACAGCATGCACAACACAAACACACACAGACACACACATACACATGCACACAATCCTTTCTAACAAGGATAGAGATCCCAAAGCAGGACACTGTGACAGCCAACCAAATTTATTTCTGAGAAACAGAAAGAAAACTTTGCTGCTGTAGGCAGCTCTGCTATAGAACTGCTCCCTGATGCCTCAGGGTTTATGCACTATCAGCTCCTTGCACACAGATTAGAGGTTTATTTTCTGGGTTTTTGTTGTTGTTGTTGTTGTTGCTTTTATTGCTACAACAAACAATATTAGCTAGACCAACAAACTGACATGGGGTCATTTTATTTGGAGGAAATGAGATTTTAAAGGCTCTCCAAGGAGAACATTTTATTTTCTTATTTTTCCTTCTTCTTCTTTAACATTTTTTGTTAGAATCTGATGGAAATTCAAGGGAAGCTAGAAAAAAGGACAGGGAGTATATGCAGTAGGTTAGGGGGATTAGAAAGAAGAGAAACTTGGAGCTTTTTTAGAAATAGCATTATCATTGGGTTCCATCCGAGTTCCTCTAGCTCACTGTCCCTTAAAGGGGTCAAACTGCCAAGGACTTGGGAATCTGTCTTTCCAAATTTCAATCCCAAATTATATTTCAGAGTTTGGCAGAGCTGCAAAGAGATAAGACTTTGAGGTCAGTAATCAATTTGAAATATCCATTTCATGCCAGGTTAATTCTTCCCTAACCTCTGTGTTTAACACTCCTTAAATATCTGCAATTTGGCAAGTTCTTAATTTTCTTCTTGTTCTTCTCTTCATTCTTTAGTTGATTTCTATCCACATTCCAGAAAAGGCTCAGTAATTAACCAAAGTTCTAAGATTGATTTATTGCCTGGATATCAATTAGAAGATCCTTATAGCAAGTCTTCTATAGAACTACTGCTGGGGCAGAGAGGAGCCCTGATGTGCTTATTCACACACACACACACACACACACACACACACACCCCATGGAGAATGCAGTACTGTGTACCACTCCGCCATAATTCAACAACTCTTCTTTCTCAATCAAGGAACCCCAACAAAACTCTGAAGTGCAAAACATCTGCCACTGGTGAAAGCAAGAGTCCTGTCCAAAAGTCACTAATACCACAGGGAAGTTAGGGGACCTCGGTAAGGGAAACAAGGTCCTCAGAAACAAACAACATTGAACCAATCCTGCTGGTCCTTGCCAGGGACCAGAATTCCCTTGAAATGTGTTGGCAGATACCTCCACCAGTCAGTAAAAGACATATACACACAGGCACGCGTGCACACACACACACACATACACACACATGCCTGCAGCATGAAGAACTGGAGTTCAAGGAGAATACACACACACACATATACACATACACACACACTCACACACGCCTGTAGCATGAAGAGCTGGAGTTCAAGGAGATCACACACACACACACACACACACACACACACAAACGCTGAAAAGTTGCCCGAAAGCCCTACCTGAGGATGGCCGTGTCCCCCTGCCTCACGGTGATGTTGTCCGTGCCTCGATTAAAATCCACGCTGCGAACAGGCAGTCCTGTGGGAAGAAGGCAGAGCAATCTCAGTAGGACCAGCGGCAACTGTTTCCGATCAGGCTGAACTCTGCCGACCATGGTGGCCACGCGGAGGTGCGGGTCGTGTGCTCAGGGTGTGCGTGCGCGTGCTGTGCGGTGCAGCCGACGGGGTTTTACAAACGGAGGGCTTTCATCAGCAGCAAAGGTAGACCGGGCTTGGCCAGTTTGTGGTCCTTTCCACTTTGTCTCTCTCTGTTCGTCTCCCTGGCTCAGTCTCTTTTCCCTCTACGACTTAACAAAGCACTCATAAAACCCAAGCAAGGGAGGTAAAAGTCGAAGGAACACAATTTCCAATGAGAGAGTACAAATATAAAACCCTCTAGAAAAGATGAAGAGAAGGCTGCAGAAGGAGGGTGTTCTCCGGTCTGTCTGGGGCTGGATGCTCCTTTGCCAGTGTCTGAGTTGAGCTCCTTTCCTCTGTAACCCACTTTCCCAGGCGGGCTGGCGGGGAGGAAGTGTAAAGAAACCCACACAGCAGCGGCAGCAGCCCAGAGTCTCTCCCCCTCCTCCCTTTCCTGTTTCTCTCTCCAGTCCCTCCCTCTCTCTGCTCAGCACCTCCCCCTGCCCCCACTGATTTCAACAGCCCCTCCACGTCATCCCCTCAGCCCTCCCCTTGGCGTGGCCCCTCGCTTTGCACAACTGCCCTGTTCAGCAGCCGCCAGCCTCAATGAAAGCCTAATGCACCTTTAGGTTGTCAGGACAACAGCTCCATCTGAGGCCTGGCTGATTTCCTTAAGAAGACGGAATGGAGCTTGGACATACTGTGCAAGAGAAAGGGAGAAGGAGAGAGACTCAAGCTATAAAAGAACAGGAGCAAGAGTCCAGGCAAGGAGAGGGAAAGTGAGGAAGGAAGGAAAAGGAGATGGGAAGAAGAGAAGGCAAACCTGGACAGATGAAGAGAGTGAAACAGAGAAGGCAGGAGAGCATGGGGGGGGGGGGAGCACCCTATGCTGAAAGATGGCATGAGAAACGTAATACAGAGAATGAATTTGACAATGGAGGCTAAAATTAAAAGCCAAAGTTGATTTCAAAGCTAAACATTCTTGGCAAATGACTTTTTGTGCTCACATCTTGTTCGCTCTCCCCTGTCTCCTGTGCTTTTTTCCCCAGGATTAAAAAGGTTTATTTTCTCTCCTTTCCTTATCCCCTTCCCCCTCCCCTTAAAGCCCCCTTATAAAAGATGGATCAGAGACAATGCTGGTATTGAGTGGTCTAGGGTGTGAATGCTTGGTTTGTCTTTTCCAAGTGCCAGCCTCAGCAGCTGATCCCTGGTCCCTAAATCAACCTCACTCTCCAGGAAACCCTCACTCCGTGTCCCACACATGAGGAACCTTATTAAGGGTTATTGTTTAAGCATCATGCTGCTGTTGCTACCCAAGTTTCTACTGGCACTTTCTTCTCGAAATGTTCATATGCAAGAAAGGAGATTTGTATCAGAAAGCTTGTCATTTACAGGGTGACATTAAGGCTGCATACAGCACTCCAGTACATGACAGTTTACCATTATGTGTTCATCCTTCTACTCCAAGAGTCAAAGCCAAGTGATAAGAGTCATAAGGGGCTAACACTATTAGTCACTCTTGTGAAAGCCTCAAACTATCTATTAGTCATCTCCCTGCGCGCTGATGCTGAGGATACAAAATGGGAGTGGACCAGCCAACAGCTCTGGTTTTGTTTTAGATCTTATTTATTCAAATAGTGAAGACATCCACATGTTGCAAAAATGAAGTGGTACAGAATGTGATAGCATGAATTGTTATTTTTTCTATCCCTTTTTTAGGCAAGCCATTTCTCCTGTTTGGAAGCAACAAATACTTTCAATTTCTTATACATCCTTCCCTAAATATTCAATTACATACAAGTACACACACACATACATACAAGTAAATACATTACACACAAATACCTATACACGGGTATTAGGCCACTATTCTCACTTACACAAATGATCGGCCAAGGATATTTGAAAAAAAAAAAAAAGGAGTCTTTCTCAAGCCCTTCAGAATACCAGGTGTACAGAGGCACTTAATATGCTGACACCTGCCTTGTCTCCCTAGAATATTAAAATAATTTACCTATTGTATTTTGTCAATTTAAAAGGTAGATACACTTGTTTAGATTATGAGAGGAAAAAAGGAAGACCTACTACTTTTTTTAAGAATTTGAAGGATTGCAAACAGAATTTCTAAAAAAAATCAAGATTGATGGAGTGAATTTTTCCTTATACTACAATTACATTTATATAAGTCAAGCTGTTCTATGTTGGGGATGATAAACATTTCCCAAATAATATGCAATGATGTTTCACCACAAATTTTAACTCAGATGGTTAAAACTTAAAACCCATGTTGCCACAGAAAAATGGTTAAATGGTAAGTTGCACTAAAAAACACACACACACAATCCTGTGGTTCCTAATGTCAGAGGGAAAATAAGCTTTAAGTGCCATGTGGAGATGCAAATTACATAACTCTCTGCAAGATGGCAGGGAAAAGAGCACCCACCACAGCCAACAGGTTTGAAAATCCCAGAAGGCTTCTTCGGAGCTTTTAGAGATAAAGGATTGGCTTAGACAAAGGCTTAGCTGTAGTATCTTCTTTGAGTAGGTGGTGTTTCTCCAATATCAGGAGGAAGAAAAGAAAGACACAAAGGACTGGGGCTATTAGAACATCTATTTCCATTGATGATGCTAGATGAAGGGTGTGACCCTCCACCCCCAGTGGTAACTAGATACTCTGAGGGAAAGTATTAGATATATCAAGAGTATGAGTATTCTCGTGTGTCAGTGGACTATATTTTGAATGAAGAGAGAAAAAATTTTTGAGGCAAGGAGCAAGTATGGTGGAGTGGTCGAATATTATTTGTAGGAGATGTTTGCACATGATTGTTGAATAATGACTAACCCAGTCATCTCAAGTCACCAGTAAGACTTGTCTGGTCCTAGGATGAAGCAGGAAGTTTAATATACTGGGGTACAAAATAATTCATACCAAAGTAGTAGGAATGCAGAATTTCTAGCAAAGCAATCAGATCTGGAGTTTGTCTTCAGAATCATTCTGAGAAAAGGATGTATTAAGTTAATCAGGATTGTAATCATAATTGCAATAGACATACCCAACCGTCCTAAGAGGATAAAACCATAAATACATATTGTATAGAAAAAAATCATATAATATAATTAAAGGTTTTTTTGGTATACTTTCATTAAATAAAGTCCATTTCTTGCCAACTTTTATTAAACTAAATTGACTTATTGTGTGCACTGGAAGACACAAAAAAAGACTGAATTTAAAAAATTATCTAATTTAGGCTATTTCAGAATTTAGACTGGATTTCTGAACAATCTCAACATCATGAAGTGTACTATGTAAGTTAATTATCTAACATTTATCATGCACATCCAGGTGGCACTTCAAATACAACTTTCTAACCCAACCATTGGCACAGAGTTGGCACTTTATAATTGATACGTGTGTGTGTGTGTGTGTGTGTGTGTGTGTGTGTATACACACACACATACATCAATGGAGAGAAAGAAAACAATTGACTGCCCACGCCTACTGACATGGCTTTCTCATCATTTACAAAATAATAAATCTATTTATCTATTTGTGGGTGTACTATCAACTTCCACTTCAACTTTTTGCTCTTTCAGAATCCTTCCTCTTTTTAGTCCTTTATGGACTCCTTCTGATTTTCTCTCCTCTCAATAAGATCTAATAAATTCTAATAAATCCAATAGTTACTATATATTGAGTAACTTATCTCATCTTATCCTAATAGTCACTCCCCTAAGTCCACACCCATATTAACTCCTCTGCTTGCTTTCCTAAGAAACATAGAGAAAGAAACAACTAGATGAGTTACTAAAATTTATACAAGCTATTTTTCTGTAAACTACAATATACATTCTTCCAAGAGGGCTGGCAAAAGTGAACATACTTTCAGGTTATTTGTGAGGCAAGTATGGCTGTTAGCCATGTGAAACAGCCATCATCGTCCAAGTAAGATGATCTTAACTACTACTTTAAAATAACATACTGCCATTCTAAAAGAGGCTTTAGAAGATTTGGGCAATCTCCAGGGACAAATGCTGCAGAAGAAACAAAAACTGGCAAATGTCTGAGCACCCTAAGAAGCATGAAGGTTTATTTTCTTGTTAGCTTTGCAAGGTACCATGCTCTCAGAAAATCCACATGTATCCTGGAATGTGCAACTAATTAGGCTACATTGCTTGCATTTTATGCTAAACATGCCTATAATTATTAATATACCACTCCACATCTCTACAGTTGTAAAGTCTTAATCATAATAATGCCATGCCTGTACTACACTGTCATAAGTGGTATTAGCATTTCCATATGAACTAGAAATGTAGAATTGTTAATACTTCTCCTTAGGATTACTAATATGACATTCTCAATGATTTCATCATAATTTCACAATGTTGAAGTATCTCAGTTTATGCGCACAAGCATGGTGCTATCTCGTGTGAATTTTCTTTGGAATTTGGCTCCTTTGAATATGGTAGCTTCATTCATATGTGGCCTACTGCCTAACAAAATCTATCAGCTTCAAGTTAGTTGAATATCATTCAGATCCTTACTAGAGAACCCTCAGCAATGTAAAACACTCAATATATACTGTACACAATTAAAATTGCTCTTTCACGGTTTGTTTTTAGTTTATGCCTTTGTGATTCATTGTTATCATAATGGTCTACTGCTTTTTTTGTTTCCTCATTCAGTTTTGGTAGGTATCAATGCTTAGATCTGTCAAAGTTTTCAAAAGTTCTTTGTGATTCCTGAGCTGCTGCTTGGGTGCCAGCACACCAGAAGATTTATTCTCACATAAACACCTTATTATTTCTCAAACCTGTACTCATTAGCCCTGTTACCTTCCTCTTTTCTAGACTTCCCACTCTGCCACCATGTACAAGGAGGTGGCCATTGCTAAGTAATGCTGCATCTGCCTTGCTGCTGCACTTTTTGATCCTCACATATGGGAAGAACACTGTAGCAGCTGGGAAGATGGAGGTAGCAGCGTCCTCATTATAGCAAGATGTTAATACAAGCAAGTAATCAGGCAGTTATATCTTCTATTTGTAGTTGCCATAGTGACTTAGATTCCTACAATTTAAAAAAAAAATAGGCTAAGGACAAATGAGGAAGAGTGGAGGCAGGTATGCAATTCCATACACTGACATGCCCAGTAGGTTTAATCACTCAATATACTTTTATTGCTATGGTAGTGAATCAAGAAAGATAAGAGTCTATCTTCATAGAACTTACATTCTTGAGACACAAATAGACACTATACAAGTAAATATATATATATTAAGATTTTGGAAAATAAAGACTATAGACAAAATGTGTATAATACAGAGAAAATGGCCTGGAGGTATAGTGAGGAAAACATATGTCCTGAAATCTAAGAAGGCAGCCATGCAAATATCTGCAAACAGACCTTTCCAGATGAA